TGATGACAATACTAGTGCCTCTTTCATATAATAAATAATTAAACACAGGCCAGAACAAACTGTTACAAATTTACAGTGTTAAAAATGTATGTTACTTCATAAAAGCTTGGCAAACATTGAACGTTATACAAAATACGATGCCAATTTCAGATTTTTTTCCTAAATATTTTAACATCAAAGAATAATAAAGAATGAAAAAGCTCAATTTCATTATATAAATGAGAAATTTCGTAATGAAGCTAGTTTGTAACATAATTGCATTGTAACAAATTAAACTATTAAACTTTTTTTTTAATCTTTCGTGTTGCTTTTAATTAGCTTTTGGAATTTTAACTAAGTCACATTTTTGAATTACTGTAAAAATGAACATTATATCATTTAGAAATATAAAAAAATGGAGAATTTCATTCCAAAATCCAATATCAAAGAAAGAAAACATGAAAGAAAAAGCAAGCACTTTGTTAGCAGAACAGAACAAGAAACACGAATCTTGTAAGTTTTGCAATTATGGATGTCATTATCTCTTTATTAGTTAATCTTTATATGTACAAATGGACATAGAATTATTCACAGGGCACACGATTTAAAGATTAAGAATGAAAATAAAAAAATAAAAAAAAAACCTTTTTATTGCTTTGTAACATGCTTTGAACTCTGTAAAGTTTTTAATCTTTTGCACTTTCGGGAATATAAACCTCTTTTGTGTGTGTGTGTTTTTTTTTTGTTTGTTTTATTTTAAATTAGAAATGTTTGCAAGCATAGAAAATAAAACTGTTCATTTAGGTCTCGCTATTGCATATCATTACAGAAAATTAATTGATTTGATCCGAAGTTAACTCTACTACAAATTGACAGCATTATGTAGCTGCATATACCATTACATTTCATTAAATATGTAATATTACAGTTCCGCAAAAAATAAAAATAAAAAAGGACTTTCCTTTAAAAAAAAGGTCTGTACGTACTAAAGGAAAAATGAAGTTATCGAACATTAGTTATCATTTCTGAAAAACAAAGGACACAATCAACGTGTAATGTTCACACATATCTCATAAATTACTACAATTGGGAACAATGTTAGAATAAGAAAAGAAGTGTACATTTACGTGTTAATATAGAATGTAATGTTTTAATGATGTTTTTTGTTTACAATCCACTGTAAATTATTGGTGACATGAAACCGTCATTATAAACAGTGAATGACAAGGGCAAGATACATTCACTTTCATTTCTAGACATTTTCAATGATTGCAATGCATGTTACTTTAGAATTATATTTTACTTACAATGACAGATGTTTTATATCAGTATACAATCGAGTATTTATATCGAAAATCAAACGTGTCTAACTACTTCGTGTACATGAAACTATAACTGAAATGTATTTCTCTATTAACTCTGCTAGCGTTTCGCCTTGAAGTGATGTTCTGATAAATGGCTTTGATTGTGTAGAAATACTTATATAAAATAAAAATGCAGCGCAGTTAATGCAATGTTTGCGTGTTCAGTCCAATCAAAAAGGTCATCTTCCAAGCCGTAGGAAAGTACGCCCAGCTTTTTGAAATTTAATTTCCATTTACTTAATTGCAACACTAACATTAATTTATCTCATTTCATCTGAAACATATTCTATTATATATAACAGTAACAGTATTCTCTGTAAAAAACGGATATTTAATGATTCCCAAAAGAAAAACAAAATATATTACAAATTGTAATCAGTGAAACGCATGTCAAATTGCTTGATTCTACATTAAGTCAACTATTAATAATACATTGTTATATGCATTAAGAACATACCTGTACTTGCTATTATTACATTTGTTCTTTCCATAAATCACTTGAAGCATTTTACATTGATCATACATTGTAGTAATCAATGTTGTGCAACGTATAGAAAATGAAAACATTCGCTAAAATAATCAATGCAGAAGTAATGTAATCACACATTTCCCCACCCTTGTCACCACCTTTAATAAACACAATGCTTAAAGATCTTGTATGTTTTGTGATTGATATTGTTACTGTGTGTATACCACACTTGCAATAAATTAAATATGTATATAATTATGTAAATAAACAATTTTCAAACATCAACGAATATGTTAAATGTGTACTGCAAATATTTGTGCACATATTATTTAATCAATAAATTATATGCATTAATTTCTTATTGGAAAATTTGACTAAGAATTTATAGATAATAAATTTCTAATTACTTCACTTTCTTTACATGAAATGTTAAATTCGTTAATATCTTTATGAATGATGCTTATTAGAACTTACAAAATTGACAAATCTTAATTTGAGCATCATATTTATGAAATAAAACCATGAAAAAATGTGTTACAAGATCTTTTAAAAATCAAACAAGGTGGGTAAACATTTTTGTTAATGACTAGAACAGATGAAATATATACGAGTCATTTTTTACTTATATTATCCTTATATAATCAAATATCAAGTAAATGTCATGGAATAAATGTAAGTCATCAAGAAATATTTCTCAAATTAAACTACAAAAGCAAAGCTTAAACCGCTTTGAATATACATGTATGGTAATTGTATCATTGCGTTAATTCATGTAATAAGAGCGTTCGAGATTTGAATGGAAAGTACAGACAAATGTCCTTATTATAGTAATAATAATTCTGTCCGTGGGCATGCTGTTCTAGCATATACTTATTTATAACATTTATATAATATATATCCTCCAATATTATAAGTATGTCGAAAGCACACATATTAACACTTAATTTAAGACTAATTATTGTTGTATAGCAATAATAACGTGCTAATTTATCATCACTTTTACGATACCATAGGTCACTACACCGATTACATTATGACGAAATAATGCCCTTCCCAATGTATCTAGTTAGTTCGTAATTAAAACTATTTTGCTTTATCATGATTAATTTGACCTAATACCACTCAATCCTTATCATTTGATCAGTTACACGTAGTCAATATATCGGCATTTTAGATCATGAAATCTAAAACATTATTAATTTATAACTTCGTGTATGATTAGAGACAGAAGTCATGATATAACTAAAAAAATAACCAACCGTTACAACATTTATGGAAATGAAAACATTCTCAATCAATAATTGAATTCCGTGGAAATTATTTTTTCTTATAAAAAATAGATATCCTAATGGTATGGTTGACTATAATTTATATATATTGATTCCGTTTGAATATTTTGTTCTTAACTATTAACTATATTACATTTCTTTATTTTACATTCCAATATGACGTGATGAGTCTCCATTTTATCGTGCACTATGGCCTAAATCGATATGCGCTTGGGCGCATTTTACTCAAATCGAGCAATGAACCGCTACAAAAGACTATTTTTTTACTTATTCGCATTTCATTACAACCCTTTAATGTATCCGTTTCCTGTACCCCTTTTGATTTCAATGGTTGAAAATTTAAAATGACCCCATTCGAGTTTCTTTTCAGTTTTTATTAGTTTAAAAGAGCTTTCATTTTTATTCTTTTCTTTGTTTATTTTAGACAACTGTTTGCTGGAACAAAAAGCCAACCAATGGGCATTTTCCCAGCTCAGCTTTCAAGTCATAATTTGACACTTTCAGTTTAGGTGTAATTATATTTTTTTATTATAGAGAATAATTTAACACAAAGCTACGGACTAAAATGGAAACGTTAAAATTTGTGAAACAAAACTATCATACCAATACTATCTAAAATTTCTTATTAAATGAAAAATAGCACATAGACTAGAAAAAATCTTGTAATACAAGCATAAACGACACATTGTTCCTATTACAAGTTATTACAGTCAAGCTGAAAATAATAGTTGTACATGACACTTAACTCTTGTGCCATATTTGGCAATTGCATCGGCATTAGAACTAACACTTGTGTCTACAGATGACGTCATTCAATTTAACGTGTCATAATAATTCCATCCTTGATATTTGAATCACTTGTAGACTGACCTATCAGATTACAGAGAACAGACGATTTTGGTGCTTGTACAACGTCAATTAACGAACTAATCAGAAACATTTGTGATTTTATGCATGAAACGCGGATATAAATCTGACAAGCTATTTTTTTGCTTTTTTTATCAAAAGCAGTATGGACTATTTTTGCTAACGTTTCTTTGTAGATCATTTAGGAAATTAAAACAAAAAAAACTTTAAGCGTATAAAAATTAGAGCAACAAAAAAGGTGAAATAATTTTAAAATTCTTTTTTTTTAATTATTCCTTTTATTTTACAAGTCCAGTTTACATATTTAATTATGCAGTTTGCCAGAGGCCATTTTTCTTCAGTCTTACAAATTGTACGTTTAGACATTTTACAAAGAACATGTTAATTTTTCGATGTTATTTCAAAGGTAAGATACTATATGTTTAAACAATATATCCGGTCAATAGAATGCTTGCTAGCAAGAAAAATAATCTCTGATATATGATTCAATCATTATTTTGGAGTACCTTAAGGTTTTTATAACAGTTTTACTGTTTTATCTAAAACATCGAAATAAAAAAAAGCAAATTTAGATATTTCGAAACAAGTATACAACATAAATTTAACACAGTAAAATTTTTACCACAGTTAGTCGATTAAAACACCAGTTACTGATATATTGAAAATGTGTAAAATACTTATGATTCATAAATCTTATTCTTGTCTAAACGCCCTTTTCAAACATACGCTTTAAGTTGTATTTTTTTATATCTTTTATTCAAATGTTTGGGTAAACATACACGTGTATTTTTAAAAACCTTGTTACATATTAACTTATATTTGATAAACAAAACACAAAAGAAAATTATTTACTTGAATGCATAAAATATTATATCAAAGAAAACTTCCAGGTTAATGTCTTAAAAACAGTTGTTCAGTTATGCAATATAAATTTATCAGAGGCGCAGTTGTGCCATAGACGTTGGACTGAGATTGTTTTTAGCTGATTTTCTTATTTATTTGAGAAAACTATTGTCAGAGCGTACCGCAAAGCAAACGGAAAAATCCAATAGATTGTAAGGAGTAACACCAGATATTTGTAACCACATTTCTGTAAGCTCCAGAGATGTTATTGGCGCTACTACCATTGATAACAGAGAAGCGATATCGCTTTGTTCGCGCGCATTCATATTTTCATAATTGGAATAGCTTTACGTCTGAACATACGAATTTATATTTAAGAATGTAAAAGTTTCTTAAAACATTGCTGAATTGATAGATTAAAGCTGTGTTAAAAATTCAATTTAAGTTTAAGGAGCTTATTTAAAAAAAACTACTTAAAAACAATTATGCATAAATGTGATAATAGAACAAAATGAACAGACATGAATAAAAAGGGTTTATATTGTCTATTGAAATGACAAGGTTATATATATCGCGCTGTAATTAATTGTTTACTTATGGACAATATTTAGAAATAATCAACAATATTTCAAATGGTTAAACATTCATTGAAACTACGGTCGAATATATCTTACAGACCAAGGACTTATACATCACTTTGCATGAGCGATTTTTCCTAAAAGGTTGGTAATTATATCAATTTACATTTTAAATGATCCTCATAAAAATTGATGTTATCTCGATAAAGGATGGTTAGATAAATTCGCACACTCTGAAATCATCGTAACAAATAATTTATTAATAAAGTTTTCATTAGTACAAATAATATGGAAGTAAACAAAAACAATATTGAATGCATTATTTGTTAAAATACATTAATATTGTATTAAAAGTCGTTATTTTATTACAATCAATCATTGTCGTAACGCCTGCATAGGAAGTGAAACTGGCGAATACAATAATGTAAAAATAAAACAATTAGATATTTGAATTCAGGAACGAAATGATTTAATTCGAGTACATCAAATGTTCTGTGTAAAATTTTGTTTTGTTTAGGTCATATATTATCTGTACACATAACATAGCGAAATTTTTACCAAATGTTCGTACAAGCTTTAAGTCACAGAAACGTTACTGTAATGAAAGCGACAATTTCATAAAAGTGGCCATATTAATTCAAATATTAAAAAAAGATGCGTGTCCATAGGTATATAGAGCAAGACATTAACCATCCTGTTATAGCTTTATTTCTATCAGGTACTTTTTTCATGTCTCCCAATATGAATTTACTGTTTAATACCCTAATCTTCCAAGAATGTATGACTTGATCAAATACTTGCAAACAGCCAGCTAGTTTGTATTTATTTAGTGGGCATTCGCTATACTGCTGTAGAGTATCATGAGAATAAATAATTTCTGAGGTGTTATTCCTTTAAGAAAAACAATACAAATCAAAACAACAACAACAAAAAAACAAACAATGCAATCGGAGTAGGTGTAAAATAATTTAACCATTACCTAAAACGTCAGCGGAAATTACATATAATACGTCATAAGTTGCATAAATAACAACTTGTATTTAAGTACAAAGTAATAAATTATGTGGTGAAATAGTATATTTTGTCATGTGTACACACGTCAATATATTCGTAAACGCTGCATGTTATTTACATTTATTAATCCTTCATTGTTTGAAAAAATTTGCCGATCTATAGACGGCAGGCAAGTTTTGCGCACTTAAATACATCTGCAATATTAATGGTGGAACTGCTCTTTAATTTCAATAATAAACATGTCAATTATCAAAATACCTCTTCAAGTTTTGACCTAGAAATTTACAACTAACTTCATAAACTGTCAGTACGGTTATTGCTTCTAAATAAAATATCATTTTATCACAACTACCAATACCAAGTGATTTTCCTGTCAAGTAAATGTATGTATTACAATCTAAAAATAAATTATTCAAATTCACAAATAAAAATATAAAATATAAAACGACTTTGTTTCTTACTAGAATAAAGTACTGAACAAAAAACATGACTTAGGCTTTAACCTAAAATATGTTTAAGGGCAAACCTTTTTAACCCGAATGAGTACAAAATATTCACGGTCAGTAGATGAAAATTTACATTCAGCGTTGCAGATGAAATATCGTCAAAAACTAAAAACGAATTTATTACAAATATTTGATTTCAGCTGTTATCGTTTTTTCAAAATGTAAATTAAAGGCCAATTGTAATTCTTTATCAAAGAAAATATATTACACACTTTCAAACAAGAATATAACATAGCTGAATAAAGTTTGAATTTGGCAACGTTCGAGCTCTTGAAAGCAGTCGGTAAGTCAAATATGTAATTGACCTTTCCTTATTCTCAACCGATATAATTAAAACAAAGCTTCCCCTTTCTGTTTTAGAAAACCAATGGTAAAATGTTCTAATAAAGTTAGAAAATTCCTTTTTTTCCTCTCTAAGCTTGTTCTTAACGGCATTTTATGCCTCAGAAATCCATATCTATTTAGTTCTTTAGACATGTCAAACACATGTTTTATAATGTTTTAATAACAGTTTAAAAGCATGTTTTATCTATTTTTTTCACTTTGTTTAAATTGTGAAATGAAATAGCTAATCATAATGGGCATGGTAAAAATTTCTGCATTGGTTCTCATCAGAAACCAAAAGTACATTATGCGTCTGCTTAAGATCTTGTTTCATCCAAATGAATAATAAAAATAGAAAGGTTTTTTGATGAATCAGCTTCATGATACTATAGACATTACGAAGCATTTAGGTTGCTTAAGATAAGTTATCGTTACTTAGCTTAGACAATAAAACGTAAATATTTAATGAATAATTAACACGTTGTTATTTAGTTGAATTTGGGACTCTACCAGGGTTATGAGGATGCAAATGAAAGTATATAAGAACATACGAAAATTTGTAAGATGTTTAAATGTTTCGGAGTATTTCTATCCAATATACAATATTTAAATTCTAGACAATAATTTATTATTATTATTATTATTTGTCAAAAATCATTTTTGGTTCGAAACTTTCGTTCAAATATGTTTATGAATTATCACTGTTTTATTTTTGTGGAATAATAAAAAAGTCAAAATAAAACCCTGATGTGTAAATGTAATAAAATTGATATATCAATGTCAAATCGAAGGTAAACACTAGCAAAGCATGCTCTTCAAAACTAAATAATTATATGCAATAAAGTGTAACAAATTGACATGGAATGTGTTGATGTTTTTCTTCGAACTGAGCGTCAAATTTATTGCGTTAAAACAAAGGATTTCAAATTATGATTAGAGGCGTTACACTGGATACAAATCACGGAATTACTCGAATGTACACTACGATGTTTTCAAATTACTGGAAATGTAAAATTAACATGTAAATATAAAATTTGTTTTATGGTTATGGCCTTATTAAGCTTATATTTCAACTTTTATATCTTATGTCAAAACTATATGGCAGAGAAATGTTTTGATAATAGAACAATATATTATTTGCGACACAATACATCAGAAATGTTTCTAAATAAAGAACAAGTGCAGACAGCGAAATATGAATATTAAATGAACGAAGTCGTTCCCATTTAGAACTTACAGTACTTTAATAACAAACCTAATGACACAAAAACCTTTATTTTTTTGCGAAGCTTTATGTCACTGATGTGAAACTATTTTTGTTTCATTCCACCTTTTTAAACGTCAATTTCATTTGTTTGTTTGGTTAAACGACTGATATCGATACACGTATTTTATTAATATACAATTATCTAGCGGCTAAGCTGAGTTCCTTAGTAAACACAAGCATTCCATACATAAATTGAAATGCAAATAACAACCGCTTTTATTTTTTTTTAAAGCAGCAACTTTAATACCATTTTTACGACGAGATATTTCCACAAAGAAAAATATTGCTACAATAACTTTTATGAGCATGCAGTGTTTTCATGCCATACATGCAAGTCTCAAAACAGAAACAACATTTTTCGTGTTTTAAGCCCGTTAAAGAGTTTCGAAATAAATTAATTTGTTGCACTTGATAATTACATTATGCACGTGTGTGTGTGCTTTTAACTAAAACTTGGGTTTTAAATACGCAAAAGTATTGAACTGCTTGTTTTGTTACAAACTTATTCAAAATGACAGTGTTATTTAAAGCCTTAATTTCACATACAATATTTAAAGCAAGAGACAAGAATGCTGCATATGTGGACATTTGGAATAAAGATGATGAGCTGATTCACACGCGTCATTTTCATTTACAATCTCCAAGGGAATCCACTGAGGTCCAAAGGCTTTAAACCGTAATCTTGAAATGTCTTACATAAATACACACGTTAAGTACGTCAAACGGAAAGTTTTCCGTAAGATGATAAAGAAATATATCTAAAGTTAAATTGATAATTGCATTTATGTGCCATTCTTAGCGTGAATTTAAGCGCATTTTATTTCTTGATCCTATTTCACATTCATAATAATCCTTTTTGAAATGAAAAAGAAAGTGAGTGAATGATCTGAAACTTTGCTCAGAACTTTGGTACAGACTTAACTTAATTGCATACAAATTTTTAAACAATACTTCCTACTCAGTCATGTCAAAAATCACTTTGAGACCCTTTTAAGTAAAATTAAATGATAAATGAAAGTCATTGCTGTGGAAATCATGTGCGTGATTAAATAAAAGACTTAAGCTGTTTTCTATAAGTCATTCATTTACTTTAAAAGAAAACACACAATCTTCATTATATCAGTAGGAACTAATATGAAATTACTTTTTCAGATTGATGGTAATGGGTTAATATTAATAAAAATACAAGAAAAAATTGAACAACGCTTAATTTTTTTTAAAGACCTGCAATGTCACCTTGACGAAATGCAAATAAGTTAACAAAATAAGGTCACCTTAAATAATTTTATCATACTCCAAGCCATTTATTTCAATTATATATTTTGTAACGCTGTACAAAATTATCAGTATAGATCAATATGAAGTTTTGACATTAATGAACTGTTTCTTTACAAAAATGATGAACTGTATCATAGTAAACTATTTTAGCGATCATTATGTCCAATCTGTCTGGCTTAACATTTATCAGTTAGGGATGGTATGTTAATAAGATATCTAATAATATACATTGACGTTAATATGTCTCGCAACACAAATTATTGTGATAGAGTTTGAGTGAAAACAATTCATGTACCGCTGTAATTATTAAAAACGCAATAATCTGCTCCACTGACAAAACTAAAACATTAAAACACACATCTGATATTATAATTGCGATTGAGCATTTATCTTGTTTTATATAAAATAAAAACAATAAAGTCAAGGTTAAATAATATTCGAATTAAATTGGATGTGCTTAAAGTCAGAATTAAATGATACAGCAAGTATAGGTTTCAAAAGAGAACGTGATAAAGCAAATGGAACAAAGCAAAATATATCTTACTTATTATCGTATATATAGTAACTTGAACTTTTATAAATTTCATAATTATCTTTGTCTTAACTGATGTGTTGTTTATTTGTTTTTCTTTTTTTTTCGTACAAAAAGAAATTGATTGAATTTTTATCTTTTAACGCATTGTGTCTTAGGTGCTGTACTTTGTTATTTATTATCTACAGGCTGTAGTTAAACACATGCATGTTTGAAAATATGTGTGTCACATGAGTTGAAATTCTAATAACAAATTCTGCTATTTGTTTTTTTTCTGTAATCAGAAATGTTTGAATTAAATAAAAAACATTGATATGACTAAAATGCTGATACTAGTCATTGTCTAAGTGGAGACACATGTTCCATGTATTATGCAAAAGTGTTAATTATTGATGATGAAAGTAACATATCGAATTTTCATTTATATTCAAAACTATCTAGCCGGTAAAAAAATCATGTGTATTTTAACATTATCAATAACTTCACATGAAGCTTATAATTGTTGGTACCGTGATGTTTTATAATTTATTAAATTACGATTTATTATAAATGTTTCTTTCTTTTTCATTAATTAATCTCGTGAAAATGCTATATAATTTCAATTTGTCTCAATCGTCCTCTTCTGACAGTGCTCTACTTTAAAAAAAAGTATTCTGTCGAATAATAGGACTTTATTATTATTAATGATGTCTTTTTTATTGTTTCAATGTAACATTGCGTTGTGTAATAGTGGTATTCAACTGTCAATATTATAAGCATTGTAATGTTATTAAAAATAAATAGTGATAATGTGCATCCCATTTTCTTAATACATAACATAGTTCAATGAATAATATTACTTTATATACATTACGTATTGATGTAATTGTCTATTTATTTACAGATCGTACAAGCTGTTGACCATCATGTCGTTACACAAATTCGATTTACCCTCAGGGGGAGATTGTACTATTAATGTAACGTCCTTGATGCTCCAACTCGGCAATATTAGTGCTCTTGCCGAATCGCAACAAACAGAACTGTTTTCACAGGTATTTTGATAATATACTAAACAAAATTTGTTCGATTCTATCTGGTTTTTTATGGATAGAATGTAACAGTCGGCATAGGTGAAGTTGAAAACATTATTTGAAAAGTTTGCATAAATGTAACATTAAGATCCGATGCTTTGTGATGAATAATGTGTGAATACCACTTGCAAAATTATATGAAATAATTATGCAATAACATTCAAAATCAAAGGATAGTAATGTTACAATATTTCACATTTATTAATCATCAATACATGCTCATGCTTATTGGAATTTGACTAGATTTATGGAAAATTTCTTACCTCCTTATACTGAATTATTGGGTAATTTTAAAACTATTGATCAAATGACAATCTTATTTGAGCTCATTATGAATAAACATAAAATTGTGAAGGATCTTTATTCGATGCACTATAATAATTATATCTTGAATCTCGAAATAATACCGCTGGCTGCAAAAGCCAACCTTTCGTGAACTTTTTTATTTGTTTACGTATGAGTTCATTCTAAGAACTGAATTTTGAACAAGTTTTGAGATTGTAGAACTTTATATCAATTACACAATAACGTTTGTGTTGCAATCAAAGTAAAAATGTAAAAGTAAAGTGCAAGAACATTGTAAGAACAGGACAATAAATTCACTAATATGACACAAAATCAATACTCTTAATTATGTATTGTTTTGTTACATTTCAGGTGAAACAAGCTTGTAATCCTGAAAACCACAATCAGTGGAAAAGCGACTTGTATAAAGACTTCCCAGAATATATGGTTCCAAATCGTTTTTTATCTTTGTATGTTCCTCCTGTATTGTTGGCCCTTGGAACATTTGGTAACCTCCTCTCTTTCATAATAATGGCCAAAAGTATGCTTAAAGTGAGTACATACAGTTATCTTGCTGTCCTAGCAATCATGGATATTTTAGTGCTTTATGTCGGGCTACTGAGGATGTGGGTTGGCCAGTTTTCAATGGATGTTCAGCATACATCAAACGCTATGTGTAAATTAGTGAATTTTCTCGGATATGTGAGCAGTGACACATCTGTTTGGCTAATTGTAGCCGTGACAATTGAACGATTTATTGCTGTGAAGTTTCCGCTCAGAGCTCCGCGCATGTGCAATGTCCATCGTGCTAGATTTGTCATTTTGTTAATAGTAACAATAATATGTTGCATTAACGCCCACATTATCTGGACTGTTGAGCTTCAATATATATCAAACAATGGTACAAAATGTGATGCAAGTTTAATACATCTAGTTCTTGTTAAAGACGTGTGGCCTTGGGTGGATGCGGCAATATACTCATTTGTGCCGTTTTATGTTATCTCTATTCTCAATTCGCTCATAGTTAGACAAGTACTTTTTGCGAGAAAGCGACGTTCACAAATGCAGCACGTAGAGCTTACGTCAAAATATAGCAGTTTTGTGAATAAGTCACAGCTTAAGAAGTCAAACGAAAGCAGTAAGAAGCTAACTATTATGTTGCTAGCAGTATCTTTTACGTTCTTGCTAACAACATTACCAATGAATCTGCTGCAAATCGTGTCCGCGTTCTTTGGATCTGTTGCAGATGATGCTAAAAGATTTGCACAAATGACACTCGGACGGACAATTGTTGAACTGCTGATGTACGTAAATCACAGTATCAATTTTTTCCTGTATTGTGCAACAGGTCGGAAGTTCCGACGTCAAGTTAAAATAATGGCATGCCTTTGTTGTTCGGGCAAACTCATGCAATATTTGAAGCGTGAGCGCAGAAGAGGTGGAGGGGGTAGTCCAACAACAAGCTACCGACTGTCTAGGCTGAACTCATTTTCAAGCCCAAGGTCCGTTGTCATCGAAAATGACAGGCGATTTATCGTTGGAAATAATGGAAAAGTTTAAGATTGTAATTTATTTGATTGTAAATAAATCAAAACAATGCATAAAGTTATCTTTATATGTTTATGGGCCTTCGCTTGTTTAATAATTGCATTGATTTAATAATAATCATTCTACAACTTTATGATCTTTTTTGCTGAAAACCCGGACAAGTTTGTGAAACAAACGAGGATAGACATTAGAGCATACTAGTGGAAAACTCATTTCTAAAATTAGTGACTGAAACTTGTTGTTTGATTTCGTTATAGAAACTGTATGGTGTAAATGCAAAAGAGATATATAGTGCTTACAAATATATCATTCATTAAAATTAGTATCTTTGGAAGCTGTTTGCTTTTTATTCCTTTTTTAAAACGTATTACAAACATTTGATGTATACTTTGGTTTCCTTTCTTAATGTGACATCAAATGAGCTCTCTTGAATTAAATTTAATAAAAAAGATGAATAAAATTCAATAAAAGATGATGAATAAATGATGAATTATGAACAAAAATGATGAATGAAATGTTATGAAAAATGAATAGTATATTAATATGCAAGATGATTAATAAGGTATTATGCTAGATGATTGGAGAAATGTTATATAATATGATGAATGAAATTTTTTGAAAGACGATCAATTCAATACTTTGCAAAATGATGAATGAAATATATATAAAAAATGATTGAAATATCATGCATGATGATGGAGGAAATAGTGTGCAAGATGATGACTGAAATGTTATGAAAACAAGACAAAAAAAATAATAAAATTCCTTTTACGACCTCATTTCGTAATAATGATTCAAATGGACCCAATGTTATGATAACGTAGAACATAATGCCAGAAATGCTGCTAATTTTGCAACGATAATGTCATGGCAGCTTTAATAATGAATAAAGATATATATGTTTAATATACTTTTGCACATGAAATGAAATGATTTATTTTACAGTTTACTAAGGGCTAAAATACTTAACCATATTTATATTTAAAACATCTATTTTTGTGTAAAGCAAATACAGGTGTTTCTAGTAAAAACATTTGTATAGAGCTATGATAATTGGCTTGGTTGCGTCGGCACCCGAATAGAACCACCAACCTTCTTTACAGTAAATCTATAGTTTTTTCACGTTAACGACTCCATGGTTCCTGGGGATGTAATCCACAACGCTACAGGAATTCCTTATCACTATGATGAAGTTGCAGAATTATTATATAGTTCTAATCGTGAAAATCGTAAAATATTGACCGAAGACAAAACAATTATGCAGCTGCATGTAACTGTGCAATCCATAAAATGCAAATGAATTTTTTTTCAGAGACTTCATTGTTATGTTACTAAGTTCAATAAAAAAGTCATTAAGATACAATTTTTCCACAATCGCACATTTATGTAAATTTAATCGAGAAAAAAAGATAACTTCGTGCCTCAAATAATTGAATAAGATTCTGATTTTCAAGAATACTCTATTACGCTATCAATTGTGCAACATTAGGAAAAAGCCATGGAAAGATTCTATTCTGTCAAGACACATCGTGCTGTTCATCTATTTTGTATTGTGAGGAATACAATAGGTTAGGAAATTAATATTTCTTTGTTAATATTCCTTACATTTACAGCCGATTTAATTGTTTAATCTTTGCGATTAGACATATCTTTGATTAGAAAAGGGGTAATATATTTTCATTCGTGAAGAAATGCACAAAAGAATTGAGCTATAATGGTGAATTAAAATAGCGTTAACCTTTCACCAGGCCAAACAAAGACAAGATACATAAAACATATTGCCTTTTAATTGAAAAAAATATCGAAAACACTTTATCCTGAAATAAATAATTATTAAGTAAACATTTATCTTAATTAAAAATTAAAGCCGGTGTAACTGCTTTTCATTTTATGTTCATTTTTGTATCTTAAAAAACAGTTATTGATAATGTTAGGACAATTAAATTCATTAATTGGTTATTATATATCATTTATGTGAATAACGAATGAGATGAAATGATGTTTCTAAGCTATATGATCAACAACACTGAAAGTTGTTTTTTGTTTTTTGCAGTTAGGTACGGATGTAAGTAACACGTGCAATGTTTGTTCAAATATTGGCAAGCCCAGCAGTCACCTTAGATATTGCGTTTCTAAAATTCATATTATAGGTGTTTTCATATTCCCGTTAAGTGTTTATTATTTACTATCAAATATTTACTATACTGCTATTAAATTACAAGCGTGTTTTAAAAATGTATAAAATATGTATGGCGAAATTTCAGGCAATAAATATATTTTGAGGTTATTGAACGAGTCTAGGTACAGTAATGCATTTATTGCATGAGTATAATATACCTATCATTTGCGAGCGTCTGGTGGGTATCTTATTCTTATTCAACGAAATCAATAAATTTAGCAATGAAATGGCATGAATTCAATATAATATCACATTAAATAAGAATTGATAATTTCAAAATGAACCATTCTCTGTGTTACCCGATTACTGTTTGACGCTAACAATAAGCTCGTCTAAAGGACACATGCGATCATATCAACAACATTGGCGGCGTTACAATACCGTATTCAGCGGATTTGCGAAAACGTGCTGCACGGATTTGTAATAAATAATCTGTTTTTACTTTAAATGGTTATAATAGATATATCTTAACATAACATTTCCTTATCAAGACTTGTACATCATCTAAATTTTAAGAATTGTCAAATTACAACGTAAGTTGACGTCGTAAAATTGATGTATTTACCTTTTTATCAAAAGACGCCGCGTGCACGAGTGTATAGTAGATTTGCACTCGCCTATTCAGCAATGGGGAAAATTTAAGACTTGGTTTTGTGTATCTTGTTTTGTTTTTACAACATTACACTGTTTTTAAATTTTCTAATAAAATAGCTTTTCTGATGTACAATATGTCACGGAGCTTTAAAAAATTAAAATAAACGTTTAACTGAAGTGATGGTGCCATGTTTGAATGTCATATTTATCTTATCAATATTTAATTTTATTTACCTATACATATAACGTGCCAATGAGCCAGTCTATACTCGACGGTTCTAAAACCTAACGGTTGAGAGAGGTAACGATTGATTAAGTGTCACTCACTTCATTTGCTCCGCCTCTGTTGAAGTACGGCTCCGCCTTAAATTTTCGCAAAATTTAATATAATGATGCTCTGTTTGCCAGCATTTAGTCTTCGTTGACGGAAGGAAGGGTACCAGGACAACTCAATATCACTTCGCTACAACGTTAGAATACAAGTTACATAGCCTGAACCACGCAAACTATCAGAGACGTGCTACTCTCAGCCGTAAAGAAAGTACACTTAGCTCAACCATTAAGTTTCAGAGTCTAATGACGGGAACCAAATCGGGCAGGGAAGAAGGGATATGACTAAAATACGCAACAGAGATTTTTTAGCGATACGGGCGAAACGGAAATATTTTTTGCAAAACAGGCAAGACGTGTGCTAATTCACGAAAATAAATATCATTAAAGTTATAAAACAGATTAACTGAGTGAAATAAGTACGTTTCTTTTGAATTGTATCACAAATATTTACAATAGGTTATTTTCAAGGATTCTTTGACGATTGTTCTATTTTGCCTATATTTTTTATCACATTTATCGGTTCTATACCTATATTCCAGGCGTGTGATCAATCAAGTTGTTTAATCTTTTATAGATAAGAAAGCAATACGTAACTAAGAATTGATTTTATTTGACAATTTATTTAAAACTATTATTTAATATTACAGACATATTTGCTATTTGTAAAATAACAGAACAGATCGTTCTCAAAATCATTCGAACATTATGCAATTCGCACTAGTATTTAGATGGACATATTATGGGCGCAACGAAGATAATTTATTTACCCCTGTCTTTGTCTTGAATTTATTTAAGTAAACCAATTATTTAAAAGTACCTGTTATGTTATCCAATTTATTTTGCTACGACCTTTTTCAACAAACAAACATTTCAGAACTTCAGATATGGCATTACTTTTCTTGAATTAATGCATTATGTGGTCCTTTTTTACATACAACTTAACAACTTGATTATTAAACAACAAGTACTGCCAAGAACATGGAGAAAAAATATCAGTACTTCGGATATTCAGTTGTAATAGAGAACGATTTTCAAGATTGCATGTGACTGTTTTGACAGTGACATAATTTTGCGGCGTCATTGATATGCAGCATCAACATTTAACTTGTTGACAATGTTTTTAACAAATAAAAAGCAGGCCTGAAGATACTGATACATAATATATTATATCAAGGGTTAACATGACCATTAAAGACACAACCCTACTATGACAATAAGTAAATACTAATAACATTATGTACATAGTTATCTTGTTTCAACTTAGTTAAGTCTTGTCAATGAAATTGAGATCAAATATACAACTCGGGAGTGAATTTTAGAATTATTTATTTATAAACATAGTGTATACACTGTGTTTATAGTGTTTATATTGGCTGTAAATTTTATCGTTGTAAAATCGCCAGTGCTTGCAAGTGAAATTGCTCCGTTTTACATTAAAGTATTTTCCAACATAAATATTCACATTAAATAGGCCGAGCAGTATGTATAATTGTATAACACTTGCAAGCTCTATCAATGTATATATTTATTGGTCAAAGAGAGGTTACTTTGATTTGGATCGAAACGATAGAATGCAGAATTGTTGTACGTTGTATAATGCTATTGGAGAAATTGTTGCAGGAGAAAATTACTATGGTCATTTTAAACAGAATTTAACAATTCATTTTAAGTTTCAGATTTGGAAACAGTTTTGAATAATTTCTTTCAAAATAACATCAATTCTTTTATTTACACTGATAATATGCATATCCGTTTTTTTATAATAATTAATACATAAATAACAGAAAAACGTTAATATTTAGAACTATATGGTTCAAAATCGTATCATTCGATATATTTTATGTGCGTCAAGTCCAATTCAATTATGTGTAGATAGAATTAAATGTATGTGTGTGTGCGTGCGTGCGTTGGTGCGTGTGCGCGCGTGTGTGTGTTTTTATTTTTGAAAAAGATTGCTAAAATAATTCCTTCGATTATGACACAAACTGCTGTCTCGAATACAGCAATGAACGTTTTACCATGCGTATGTAGAACCAATAAACCCCTATTATTGTGTATCTTATCCCTGTTAATTCTTCTTTCACACGTTTGCTCAGCGTCCGCCAATTACATTGTATTTTTCGTTTTTTTTTTAATATCACGTCTTTATATATTGTATATGTATTTATGTGATAGTTGCGAAAAGACAAGCATACTTACAACAGGTGAATTGATTTAACATATA